GAGGGGGAGAATGAGGGGAGACATGGAGAATTCTTAACAAAATGGAAGGCCGCGTCCGTCTCTGTGTGTACACTTGCTACTATAACTACCTAAAAGAATTGCGATAGAACATTTGGATTGTCTTTGGAGTTGTTGCCGACATGTTTGGCAATACTTCATCTGAATAAAATAACATTATTCATAGTCTATTCTGTCCCAAGATAGGGTAAATATTAGGTAAGTTTGCAGGAAGATGCTATGTAAATTCACAAGGTATCAGTGCGCATAGTTATAAGGCTGGTGGCATTTTGTGACCTAAAGCGGAATTAAACCAAACAGTGCCGACAGGTACAATTTTTATGACAGAAGAGACTCTAGTGGTCTCTTCTGTCATAACTACTTCTCCCTGTCTGTCAGCCCAGTGTACATTAAAACACCGACCTTTGCCATGATGATGCGACTCTAGTGCACCTGCATGGGAGTGATGTCATCACAGCCTAGACAATGAAGTGGCTGAACAATCCGAACCCGCAAGACCTGGAGAAGATGGAAGCTCCTGTGAACTTACAGGTAAGTCTACCGTAACTGGCACATTATGGCCAACAGTTCCTGGGGACCCATTAAAAAATAAATAAATAGTTGCAGAACTTAAAGCTGAGTTTCAGATGAAAAAAAAAATAAAGAAAAGTCAGCAGTTACAAAAACTGTAGCTGCTGACATTTAAAATAGAGTCACTTACCTGTCCCTCAGTCCAGCGGTGTCCTCACCATGGCTGGTTACACTGGCCATCTTCTCTCCCTGGCGCCGGAATCTTCAGCGTGGGCACCCGGCTGTAACAGCTTGCGGCTTCACAGCTGGGTACCCACTGTGTATGCACGAGAAAGCGCTGCACTTTGTGAATGGCCCCGAAGTCTTCTGGGACATGACAGGTCCCAATCCTTAATGGGGCACAGGGGACAAAGACTTAAAGCGGAACTTCCCCTTTTGGGTGGAACTCCACTTTAATTCTGCTTTACCCAACTGATAGTGGCCAGCAACTATCTTAAAGTTTATAGGTAGCTGAAAAGGGGCCTTGCATTAAGATCATATACACTCGAACAAGTGTGTCAATCAGGTGTTCCACCTGACTGTCCAATATTTTTCCAATATGACTCACTGCTATCTCATACACAATACTAGCACTTACACAGTATTTTATAAAGGAATGGGAAAAAGAATGATATTTTACGGTCACCAACAACCACTCACATGGGTGCAGAGAGTGGACAAAATTCACTCTGTGTGACTGAATGGTGAGATGCAATATCGTAGTGACTGGTGAGCTGCTGTTGTGGGGATTTACTATCTGCTGCTAGAAACACTGAGTCATTTAGGAACTGAGCATACAGCCATTTATTACACTTATTGCTGCCTACAGGCTTGAATGAAGCTATACAACTAGGCACCAACGCTAGCCGGCTGAAGAGTTAGGACTAAAGACAGTCCCTTTACAGCTGCTACACAAGAGACCCTCACCTATTACTTGTGCAAAAAGGTACATCTCAGGTGACATTGTACCATATCCTAGCCATTCTCCTAGAGTGCACTCTAGACTAGTCATAGTATTATTACTCATATTGCATGGCAATGTTTATTTACACTGTTTATTGCTGACACTACTACTTCATGAGTTAATCTCAATCTAGTGGTACAGAACTCTATCCTAATTTACCTTGGCATAGAGATTATACTTTCCAGTGCACTGTGTCTGAATCTACCTTCTGTGCGTTCATTTATGGTCAAATCACCATTTATTCTAATGTACCCACACCGAGTTCATTTATTACTAAACAATCTAGTGCAGGGTTTCTCAACCGGACTTCTACTGCGATCTACCCATCAGATGCAGGCAGCTAACAGGTAGATCACATCCCTTGCATTCAGAGCAGTAGCAGCAAACAAAGATTTCTCTACTGTTCCCCACCAGCCTGTCCTCCCCTCCTGTCCATCCCACGTGCTTGTATGTGACATCACTTGGGATGGACAGGAAGGGAGAAGGAGCTGGTGGGGAACAGAAAGCCAGAAGAGGAAAGATCAGTCACTTCCCTGCCATGCTCTGCATATTAAACGGACAGGAAACCAGTACGTGCTGTGTGCCCCATGTAATGTGCCCCAAAATGTACCCTGTTCCCAACAACTCACTACCCCAATCCGTCAGACTGTCACCTTCCCTCCTCACCTTTAGGAGCACTCTGAAACACATCTCTTCAGAGAAGCCTACCCAGCCCTCACCTAATTGCTGAATCTCCTCTGCTCTTCCCACCACTCCATCCCCCACAGCTATTTCCTCCTGCACCACTCTCTCCTCCCTCCTAGATTGTAAGTTCCAAGGAGCAGGGCCCTCGAACCCCTCGTGTATCGCATTGTATTGTTACTGTACTGTCTCGTGTACTGTCTCCCATTATAATGTACAGCGCTGAGCAGACTTTTGGAGCTATATAAATACTGTATAATAATAATAACATAAGATGCCCTGCTTCAACGTAAGGTACCCTGCCTGCATGTAATGTGCATTGCTGCCCCCCTGTGTTTGTTTATCTCATGTTGATTCAGAATCGAGCATCTCTGCAGAAATAAGCAAGCACAACTTTCTCACTGTATAGGCACGTTTTAATATTTGTTATATCTGCTAATCCCTCCGCTGGCTTCCATTCGCCCAACAAATAAAATTCAAAATACTAACAACTTACAAAGCCATCCCCAACTCTGCCTCCAGCTACATCACCAACCTGGTCTCAAAATATCAACCAAACCGCTCTCTTCGATCCTCCCAAGACCTTCAGCTCTCT